GATATATATATATAATCCTTGGAGTACCTTGAAAGTCCAAACCCTTTTTCCTTTTCTCTATGTTAATCTTTATTGTTTGATACATTTTTTTTTTGTTGTACTTGCATATTATAAAAACAAATATAAAATGATAATTATAAACAAAAGATAAATATGGCACATCTACTGTCAAAACACCACTAGATGGTAGCCTTGTCCTTACAAACAAGATGTTTCTATATCTTATTCTTTGCAGTGTTAGTCTATCTCTGCTTGTGAACACAATGCTGCCACCTTATGGTGAGTTGTCAATACTGCTATCAGTGTGCAGTTGTTATTTCTATATTTACTATATATTTCACTAGAGCTGCAGCTAACTATTATTTTCAAAATCGATTAGTTAGCCGATTATTAAGTTCGATTAATCGGTTAATCGGATAAACAATCAAATAAAGTTTAACACATTGGTTATGTGTTTAAATATGTTTTACATTGGGTTTTTTTTCAAGTCACTGTGCCCCAATGCAGTGGTGACCAGAATGCTTTCTGATGTCATAGGTCACACTCCTTTTATTTAAAGGAGAAGCATTTGGAGAGTAAAATATACTCTATCCAATACTTGGAGACAACTCTATATACCGAGAGCTGAACAATCACGAGCCACTGATCGCTCAGCTCATGGCATCTCCCTGCAGAGAGGGAGTGGGAGACAGTGACTGTCAGTCATTGCTTCCTGTGAGGATTTCCCCTCCCTTTCCTCCCTGCTCTCTATCCCTCCAGTGCTAACTGGAGGGACAGATGTCAAGGGGGCTGGTACAGCTGGCTCTAGCTTTAGAGAGGCAGAGTCAGTTGTCAATCAGGCAGCCAGGTGGATCCTTCCCAGCTGCAGTGTGGCTCTGCGCTGTTGGCAGATAGTGCACAATAGCCCGCTATATGCTGACTTTGGGTCACAGGAGTACATTAGTAAATGTAAAAGTAAGAAGTCTTAAATTGTATTCTATTAGATGCTCAGTAGAATAAGAAAGCCAATGCGTATTGGGGCAGCATGTGATCTCCATGCTCTATAAGATGCTGATGGTTAGGGTCTTGCTATACATATGTCACAATTATTATTATTATTGTAATCAAGTTGAGTCAAGATTATTTTTTAGATTATATAAGACTTTATCAAAGCGATTCAGCAATACACAACAATACAGGATAATAACAGAGAGAGACCTAGTGCCTCTTGATGGACCTTGATTGAAACTTTGGGCTGAGCTGTCAGAATGGGTCACTGGAAAGAGTCACTTCTGAACAAAAAATTGAGCTAGCAAAATCCAGCGAGCCAAAATATACATATATATGCATAACTCCACTTGTATTTTTCAGGTTCCACACAGGCTGCTCACCTTCCAGTTGGTTCCCGGTGTAGATGTCTGTATACTTTGTGGCCCCAGTCCATCTCTGCAGAAAGTTCAGTCAGAGGTCAGTGAAGAGATTGCAAGAATGTTTTTTAATGTATAGATGATAAACAAGTTCCAGAGTTATTTCACACAGGATTTGTGACTAGATTCCCCAAGGGCAGCTAATAAACATTTCAGTTTATAGGAATGAGACTCCTTAACCAGCCCTACCTGATAACACAAAAGAGAGCATGCAATTTTCAGGAAACACCACTGACCTATGCAGCAGTAACATCCCCTAACCCCAGTGCAGCCATTGTTCATCTGTTACTTGTTGTTTTTGTAAGGTTAGCCTCATTTTACCTGTCCAAGAACATAATTATTAGGGATGCACCGATATATCGGCCGCTGAAAATTACACTTTTTGGCATAATGCCGAAAGTGCCATTTTCTGGCCGATACAGCGGTGCATCCATTCTTTCTCTCCTCCCCGCTGGGCGCCGCTTCGTGTCCCCGCAGGGAGGAGAGAGACTATCACAGGCGGCCGAGCGCTGCGGGAGGAGAGCAATGTGAGTGGCCGACATCTCTCCTCCCCACACCGCTCAGCCTCCTGTGACAGATCAGAGGAGAGCAGTGTGTGGGCGCAGAAAGCCAGCGATGTCGCAGGAGGCTGAGCTCCGTTTGCTCAGCCTCCTGTGACAGCGTGTCAGGAAGGAGAACGGTACCAACACTCAGTGATCAGTGATCGCTGAGTGTTTGTAAATAATTGAGGACATAGCATGTTTACTATATACTCAATTATGAATGAATGGGAAGTGATCTACATCACCTCCTGTTCATTCATGATTGTGGTTATAGTAATCATACTCTGTCCTCATGTTATGAATGAACAGGAACATTCAGTGTAGGTGATTCCTGTTCATTTATAACAGGGGCTGCAGAAAAAGAGATTTAGGACTTTGTGTCCTCAATCTCTTTTTCTATTTTAAGAGGGAAATATCAGGAGTATAATTTTTGTTCTCCATCCCTGCACTGTCCTCCCATTCGGACCCTTGTCTCACTGCTTTTTGTGCTCATTTTGTAGACCAAAGGCCACACAATCAAATATGAGAATATTAGAAAGACATAGCCGAATCATTTTGCCATAATTTTAGGCAGTTACAGAATAAATCGAAAAACACAGCTCTGATTTAAGACAAGATCTGCCAAAGCCTGTATTTCCTCCATAGCACAATCCACCATAGACAGTTGTCAGATGTCTTGGTCAAAAATTCTTGCTTTACCTCTATATGATTGTATATGTATATGATTTAGAGAATAATCTTAATCCCATATATATTTTTCTCTGCCTTTTTTTTTTTTTTGTGTTTTTGGTAGAAAGGTTTTGGAAGCCTGTTCTGGATCCAATCAAATCCTGTTTAAGAGTACAGCTGAGATCATTCCCAGCCTCTGTTCCTTTACACCATGGGATTCAGGGGTAAGAACATTTGGAGGTATAAAGTCTATGTATTTTAGTTGATGAATGGACAGATAACTTTAGAGTTACATGTTCAATGGTGATCCCTATTGATGTTGATGAGCCGGGTTCCAGACACTGGAGCTCTGTGTAGATATCTAGAGGGGAGAAGATTTGTGGAAACAAGGCATCAGTTGTGGCAGTGGCTGTGCCAGGTGAAAAATGCTAAGGAGGAGATTTGGATGGATTATTTTATTTTTACCAAATGGAGCTGTATCCAATAAAGATAGAAGGCTTCTATCAAAGCCTCTGATTAGCCAATACAGCAGTACATATGCAAGATAGAACCTGCATACCTGTTTTGAGTTTTACTATTTTATAAATGTACATTCTAGTCATAAAACGTAAACCTCAGAGCCAGATTAAGGCTACATAGAGCCCTAGGAACTATGAAGGCTTTCTTCGATCGCAGAATTAAGCCTGAAAGTGACATTACATCACATTACCTCCGGCTGACATAAGGGACTGGTAATGAACCTCCCACTTTTGTCAGGGACAATACACTTCCTGCTGATACCAGGTACTGACAGTACTACTCCTGCTGATAACAGGGTTTAACAACGCATCTCCCACTGAGACCAAGGCCAGATAATGCACCTCCTGCTGATATTGGGAAAAGGTGCCCATACACTGCATGATTCTCGTACGAGAATCACGGGAAATCCCGCGATCGTACGATAATCGTGCAGTGTATGGAAGGCGTGCGACCGTTTCTAATGTAAGGTCGCGCGACTTTTGTATATCGAGCTTGTTGCAAAACGAGCTGAGAATCGTACGATTTTTCGGCTGGTTTTTAACATGATCGAGAGATCACTGCCAAACGGGCCGTTGTGTGCACGCGCACACTGCCCGTTCAGCATTGCAGTCATCGGAAGCCCGCCCCCTTGCTATGTTCGCAAGTACGATCTGCCTGTCCAAGATGGGCAGATCGTACGTATTTTTAATTACTTTACAACCCTCGCAAGACAAAAGTCTTGCGAGGGTTGTAAAGTGTATGGCCACCATAACATTGCACTCTCCTGGTGAAATCAGGTAGTGTCAGTGCACCTGCCGCTGATGAGTGGTTTAACAATGCATCTCCCACTGGGACCAAGGCCAAGTAATAGACTTCCTGCTGATATTGGAGACTAACATTACGCTCTCCTGGTGATATTAGAAACTGACAGTACACATTCTTTTTAGTAAGGATCCTCTATTGTGCATTGTACAGAGAGGGTTAGTTTTAGTGTCACAAGACTGATTTAAGGTTACAACACTGAGGGCAAATGTATTGCTATTGCTATGTGGCTAGTAATGTCTGTGTAATGCAAGCTCCAGAGCACATAACATTAAAAAGCAGGTATGTTCAGCAGATGCTGCAGGTTTAGTACGGACATTTTTCAATATAATAATCAATCTCCCCTGCTACAAATTACTTTGGACACACCCTTTATGGCGGTGGCTGCGACTTTAAGTGACTTCACACCAGACTATGGGAGGCTGCAGAAATAAGAAGGAAAAATAAAGTTTGTACTGATAGATGAGGAGGGCAGGGTCAGTGCTATGTACCCTCTACTGCTTTGTAGTGCACCCCTGTGCTCTGACTACACTGACTAATGAGAAGCGCTTCTGACCACGCTGATCAGTGATTAGCACTAATTGCTAAGAAGTGCTTCTCATTGGTCAGCGCAGTCAGGTGACCACGCTGACCAATGAGTGCTTGCAATTTGCGATCCAGAGCGCAGGTCTGCTCTACATGGCAGCACAGGGTACAGATAGTATGCCTGCACCTGCGCAGGGGAAGGAGCATTCCCCCTAAGGTAAATATAGCATGATGGGGGAGAGGGGGGCAATTCCATTTTCCCAAATTTACCTCGGAAAGTGGAATTCTTTAAATTTTAAAAATGCATTCAAATACCTTAACTATTAACACAAATGTATCTTATTTGTGTATCACTCGGCTGTAGAACAAATTATCTCTGAATTGGTGCTGACACTCTCCTTCCTTCTGGAGGGTGGATACTTTTGTTCCCCATGGTCCCTGTTTGTTGTAAAGTATCCACCGCTCCAATTTCCCTCCTGCGATGGACTACAATCTCAGGTTTAGTTTCCTAATTTGTTTTGAGATTGTAGTCCTTCATGGGAGTGAGCTTGGAGCAATGGATAACTTTACAATGCACACAGAACCCATGGAGAAGAAAAGTTTCCACCCTCCAGAAGGACGGTACTCCACCAGCTGGTATCGGGCCCTGAAGGGAAAGTGTCAGCACAAATTCAATGTAAAACCTGCTCTTGATGTTGGGCAATATAAGGAGAAATTCTTTAGGCCCCTTTCACATGATCAGTCCGATCAGGTCTGTCTGTCTGTCTGTCAGTTTTCCATCCAGACTCGATCGGATGCTGTATGCAAGTGTGTAAACGGACTAGTGTCTGTTTACACCCGGTTACCCTTGGGTCGGGTTAGGTCTGGATAAACAAACGGATCAGACATCTGTTTCCATGCACCAGATCGTGCCGGACAGGGGGTTATCTGATGTAAAGGGACACATGTCCATTTACATCCGATTCCCCATAGATGCACATGGGGTCTGGCAGTTTCAGTTTCTTCCTCCATCTTGCGAAGGAGGAAAAAACTGTACGGACATGGCTGTCATAGAGGTGACATCTGCTCCGTACTGCTGTGATCAGGAGAGGATCTGTTGACCCTCTCCTGACATGCTCGTCTGAAAAGGGCCTTAGACTGATAAAGGTCAGCTTTGGAGACGATTAAAACTATTCAAAATCAGCATTATATTGCGTTATGAGAGCAGTACAGTCAGTCATGATAGCCCAGCTGTTGCAGCTTTCATACCAGGCTTGGTTGACTCAGTTATATTCAGCGAAAACTTTCCATTGGTTATTAATTAACTAATGTTACCTGATTGGAAACTTTTACATAAGAGATCAAGGCATACGGAAATGCAATATTAAAGCAGGTGGTATCCTTGAAGAAACAAATATATTTAATCCAGGAATGATATCTAATTGACTGTTTCGAACACGTCAGCTCACAGAGTTCACTTCAGCTGAAACATACACGTGGCATTTTTCTGGAATAAGTAAATCCACAATAATAAAAAAAAAGGAGCTTCAACTCCTAGAAGGAAATCGACATATAACAAAAGATCATTTAAAAAATACTATAGACGGGCATTACTTTCCTGCCTGAATCTGATAATACACGAGGCGGAGAGAGACGGAGATGATTCTGAATTGGGAAAGCTGGTTGGATGTCCAGTGAAAGGTCTTCAAGAAAAATACAGCAAGTCCAGTTGCCTTGACTTATTTTTTACAGATATACCATGACCTGGATGAATGAGAACCTTCACAGACACATGCGGAGACTGTAGAATTAGAGCAAAAAATGCTGATGGGTAGGGGGAGAAGCATTTAGGGCTGAAGATACATAAATAGTCTCTTCTGCGATACAAAATACTACCTTTTTAAAGCATTTTTACAAAGCTAACTTTAGTTCTGCTTTCAGGCAAATGGAGTAAACTTTCTCATTTTAGATACAGTATTTCATAAACTCTCGTTTTGGTAACAATTTTATAGCTGTTATAAAACAATGTTGTAACTGAACTAATTGTGCAAATATAATTACAACACTTGACAGCTGTCTTGGTAAACTAGTTAAATGTAGGAATTGTTTGCTGACTTGTGTGTCAACCAATAGAAGGCTGACTCACGGTAGATAAGAAAAAAAATGTCTGCTTTATCCCTCAAGGGCAGTTATAGCGTTTTCCTAAATTCAGATACTTCTGTGTTATAGCATTTATAAGTTTTTTAACTTTAAAAAAGAACATTTGTTGGGAAACTTTATATTTTTAGTTTTAACATCGTTGCTTTTGCCATTACTACTGTATATGGAAAGGCATTCTGTAGCTTAAAATGCCTTTTAAAACAAAGTGCACTTATTCTTTTGGCCCCTTTTGAGATGACATCACCAATCCTTCCCTCCCCGTGCACAGATGCATGTTTACCGAGATCCGATAGGCCTAGCTTCCATTGTTTTTTTTTTTTTTTTACATCCTGTGACAGATGCCTCTTTCTCCTGGCCGCACTTGTGCAATACATCCCCTTTGGCATCAATGGGGATCGTCTACTTCCATCTCATGGCCAGAAAATGAACCCTATAGAAATTAAAGAGTAAATCCACTTTCCCAGGTGAATTTGGGAAAATGTAATTACCCCCACCAATCTGCCCCTCGGGCCTTACCTGTCGATGATCGCTCCTTCCCCTCCACGGCTGCCGGTGTCCATATCCATACATGGGATTGCAGCCCTGCGGCATGTAGACCAAATTTCAGTTGCGAATGGCGAGTACTATTTTGGTCAACGCGGTCATCTGACTGTGCTGACCAATGAGAATTGCTTCCTCTTGGTCGGCGCTTCTTGTTGCCCATTAGTGATCGCCATTTGCAGGCAAAAATTGAAATACACAAACAAAAAGAATGTATTTTTATTTGCATTAAAGGAGAACTATGAGGTGAGTGCTTTTCACTCACCTCATAGTTCTAGCCGACCTGTGACAATGAGACTGTCACAGGGCGGCTCAGTAGATCGGGAGGAGAGCGAGCACATACCGGCGTTCGCTCACCTCTCAATCCTGTCACGGCTCTCTGCCGTGACAGGGGAGGGGCTGGGTTCCCCCCGCCCCGCTTCGATCCGCCAGCGCTGACTGGCGGAACGGACGGGGGAGGGGCCGGGTACAGCTGGCTCTCCCTTTTAGATAGGCAGAGCCAGCTGTCAGTCACGCAGCTGGGCGGATCCCGGCACAATTGTCGGGATCCGCTTCAGCTGCGGCATCTCAGTATACCGCGAGCAGCAGCCTAGGGTGGCGGGACGACGCTAGTTTGTGTCCTCCCGTTACCCTAAGGAGAACTATGGGGAAAAGACTTAACATAGTTCTCCTTTAAGTTACATTTTCAGGACAAGCTTTC